ACCCCCCTCTCCAGTTATCTTTGGCTAATTGGCTATATCTTTAAATACGACCAACACCATCGACACGAGATTATTTTCCATTTTTCACTTTTGAATTTTTTTTTTTAAAAGAAAGTCTCCCACCCAATTTCAAGTGATTATCATGACAAAGAATACAGAATTGCCCGATTCAAATTCCTATTGTCCCCATATCTGTAACGATTAGTTCTGCCAACAATGAATTTAATTAAGTTAATGTCTGTAGATATTTCTTAAAATGCTAAAAAAAATTAATGCGTCAGGGTGCTTAAATCAGTAATTAATGCAAAGATGAAGAAGTGAAATATAATTGATGAATTGACCAATTAGCAAAATATCTATGAGCTAGGAAGCAGGTAGGATATAGGAATTAGCATCTGTTATTAATAATAAAACAAACTAGTGGAAACACAAAGTCAGGAGACAGTATCTCATGACTGGATTTTTTTTGGCACCAATAACAATCCCTTTTTCATCTAACATTATTTAATAATGAAGCTACCTACTTCCATGGAAGGGTGGGTATCAGCTACGAGTATTTATTTGGGAGGAAAATTTTCAGCTAAGGTGAGATGACTTTTGTTTCAACTAGAGATTTTTTTGGTGCCAGAAGAAAGTTTTTGTTCTCCTAAATTTGGTTTTAAGCTCTAAGCCTCTAACTCATTAATTCGTTAGCCTAAGTGTGAGTTTTCTACTCGTTAGTGTGTCAAAAAAACAAGTTCAGCCGGATGTATAAAGTATACTGCGTTCACGCAAAATCCAGAAAAAAGCCGCACCCAAAAGGTATGATGTAGAAGTCTACTTTAATGTGCTTGCTTTTACGGCTCGAACCCTACGGAAACAACTTTAATTTACCATTACTCTAATGTACCTTCCTGAAATTTGTTAGTGTATTTTGGAAAATATATTCCTTCTGAATTACCTTGGGGAGGAAGGAATAACCTCGGTGGAAGCCTAGAAGGATGAACGATATTTATAGTAGCTAGCCTTCCAAATGATTTTTTGTTTAATCATCGCGTATCGACCCAAACGCATAGAGTTCATTTAAGAGGAACGTTCTATCAAAAACTATAACGTTCTTATTCGAACTCGAAATCTCTAATTTAGGGTAAATAAATCTATCTATTACACTACATCGCCGTTGGTTTGTTTTCATATGATTAAATGCTCTTGAAAAAGAAAGCAAAGGCAAGGGATTGTTTTTATGAAATTGGCATAAGAAATAGCCATTAGCTACGTTCTTGAAAAATTTCCACTTTTAGGATGATAATGAATCTCTGCTATCCATAAAGATGCTGCCTGGTACAGAGAAGCACTATAATGTTGAACCAGAAAACACTACGTACCTCATGGCTGGACCCATCTCTCTAGGAAATATTTTCTCGACAAATTTGAGAAATTGCTTCAAACCAATTGACGTTATTACTTGAAAAGAAAAAGAGAAGGAATTTTAGGTTAGAGGAAAGTTCCTAAAATTGGCTAATATGAAACAGTATCGACTTCTTAGGTGTTCGTATTTGTTTGTTTCGACACCTGACATAAAAATAAGCTGACTAATATTTTTCTAAAACCTACAGAATATACACACCCAAGCACGCAAACCATAGCGAATGCAATTTTGTTATTATTCCACCGAAATCTCTCTACAACATAACCAGCATCAGTGGTATACTAGTGGGAATTGATTATATAAATTCATGATTTCATTTTCACCATTTGAATCCAGTATTAAAATACTCAAAAAATTTGTCTCAAGTAGAAATAAGGGATTGTGCAGTGCTAGAGATTGTCCCGACATCTTTTTCATTAGTATCATACAAGTTTGTAAAAAAGCTAAAAGAGCTCCTACCAACAGCTATGGTTTTAATCCCAACTAGTTTGTATTGTTTTTCTGTATATGGATCTTTCTTGTCGTGCGTAATAGAATGTTTTTAGTTAAATATGGGCAGATTTTGACAGATCGTATTTCAAGACGACTTATTTGCACGTGATTTTGGTTCTACGTTGCTCTTTCTAAACACTTCCAATCGACATGGTTTTACGCCTAAGAATCAGTATATTTAGAGGTCTACGTCGAATATGACTAAATCACATCTTAAACGATCTTAATCATCTCATTTTATACTCTATGTACGAGCATCTTCATGTACTTTTTGTCGTATATGATCATCTTGAGAAGTGATTTTTTCAAAAGTGCTTTTGGAAAAAATATTTTTGGAGAAAAACATGAATAGATTTATTTAATAGTTAATATTATAAGTAAATAAATAATCTCAAAAATTTGTTATTACATGCAATAATTAAATTTTTTCATTTTATTTAAGTAAAATATGAAAATAAATTAAAAAGTACTTAATTCTTTTAATATAAGTTAAATATATTAAAAATAATTCAACAAAGATAAAAGTAACCACCGCTAAAGTCACTATATATTAGAAAGCTATCCTAAAAATAAGAAGAAAATTTATACATTAATATCCTAAGTATTAGGTTTAATGGTTATTTCGGTGTATATTATATTTCGTTAAGGGTATTTTTGGTAAGAAGAAAAGTCAAAACTGCTTCTGCTTCTGCTTTTGGGAAGAAGCTACTTTTTTCTGCTTCTCAGAAACTACTACTGCTTCTTCCCAAAAGCGTTTTTTTCCCAAAAAAAAGCTTGGCCAAACACCTCAAGTTAGGAAAAAAACAAAAAGTAATTTTGGGAAAAAAAGAAACACTTTTGACCTATTGAGAAGCTTGGCCAAACACATCTATACATTGTTCTTAGCGATTCAACTCTATTAAGAGTTTATAACCCGTATACCTATTCCAAGAAAGTCGCCTAAGGTAATTAATTGCTTCTTCTCTCCTATTTTATGTGATAGTGTTTGATTGAATATAAAATTTAAGAAAATAAAGATTATTATTAAAAACTTGTGAACTAAAAGTGTCACTATAAATTATTTTACTAAAGATTAAGAAAAAAAACTAAAGTAAAATAACTTGTAAGTGAAAATAATATTATTTTTTAGATAAATTTAAAAGAAAATACCAACATAATCGGGACAGAGGGACTAGTAGTTTATGCACACTCCAAGAATATAAATTTGGCCCTTCCATTCTCTACATAACCCTACGTTTTTTAACCGTATTATAATCACGGCCCTAGTTTTTCTTTTCAATGAAATCTAATTAATTAGCTTACATTAAAAGCAGCCACAAGAGTACAATGACAAAACGCGTTTACTCAGAATAGATTATACCTAATCAACAATCAAATGATCCCTGGGACCCTCCATTTCAGTCACAAATTAATTGCTAGTAGGAAAAATAATACTCCACCCGTTTCAATTTAGATGATATACTTGACTTGACATAAAGTTTAAGAAAATAAAACTTTTAAAACATTTGGTTCTAAAAGCTTAAGGGGCAAAAGCTTTATGGGACCATTATATTTATGTGGCTATAAAAACTTTTCATTAGGGATAAAGTGAGTAAAATAAAAAATTTAAAATTAAATTGTTTTCATATATAGATTGTGTCATTATTTTAATTGGAACGAACTAATCACGAAAGTATGACATTTAAATTGAAATGGAAAGAGAAATAACATTTCATGTAGAAGCTTCTACAATTTCTCAGATCACTTATCCTATTTGTATCATAAGAGATATCAACCGTGACAATGAATATTTTTAACTTTTATTGTGAAAGGGTTTTTTCAAGACGAACTTCTGTTAAAACACAAGTGGGAATAGCATAAAATTTCATCATTTTATAGTGACCAATTTTTCGTGTATTTGGAAACTACCACCGCTCCTAATAATGTACCTACATTATTTCATTATACTTTTGGTGCAAAGGGCATATGCATGAATTCATGTCATGTCTGCAAATATAATCATGCGTGTTTGACATGGCATGCATAGTATCGACAGAAAAGACTTGCCTCTTTGGGCTTAAATTCCCAAAAACAAGTCAGAAACAAGTATTTTGTGATTTATCGTAATTTTTAACCTATTTAGGTCAAATCTGGACAAAAGAATGTAATGAGCAATGACATTAATTAACAACCAAATTACTAGCTAGAGTCATCACTGGACATATTGACTATACTTTACAAAATGGCAACGATGGGTTGTGTAAACTTTACAAGTATTTTGTAAACTCGTTCTTTTATTCGAGAGCTTTAATAAGTGACTAAATCATCTAACTTAGTTCAATACTATTAATTAAAGTAGCCTGAAATTCAAATTCACAGCTATTTTTGTCCCTATTTACACGTGAAAAGAAGAAGAAATTTTGAAAGAAAAGGGGCTATGAGGACTTGTGACAACCTCACTTTCGACATACTAACAATATCCAAAACACTTCCAAATTAAGCCCTAAATGCCCTTTCATAATACTTGAATTTCAATTTTTAAATTGAGCTTTGACCAGAAGTTTCGATTTTCAATTAATAACTAAAATGAGATAGTCACAACTTCAATATAGTATTAGAGAATACTCAGGTTTGCGTTTACTGTCACCCACTGTCAAAAAGAATTTTCACATGCTTGACTTATGAAAAAATTATCAAAATTGCATCTGAGGAAAGCGTGTTGATGATATAATTGAGTAAATAAAAATGTAATCTCTACAATAACTTAGAGATAATTACACAAAATCAATAAGTATTTCAAAATCTCATCGGGAGAAATTTTATTGTAATTTTTATTCAAAATGAACGAAATTTTTTCTTATGGACGAAATGTGTTTTTTCAGTACAAGGCAAATTGGACCGACTAATAAGTCACGGGTACCAACACTTGTGGTATGGTATTAATTAAAAACTAGAACAATTTGAAAGGATGATGTTACCCTTAATATGTTATGTTTAGTGAAGATAATATTGTGATTAAAAAAGGAAGAATGAAAATGAAAGAAAGTGAGAGATCAATAAAAAAATTAAAACAAAATAAAAGACAGAACAAAAGCACCTCTAATAAGGGCCCCATGCAATGTCTCCTTAGTGGACTGAAGGATGTGATTTTCATCTTTTTTTCTACACTGCACCCTTCCATTTTTCCTTTCCCTTCTCCATCCTTCTAAATTTCTTACCCAAAAAAAAAAAAAAAACATGAATCCTTCAGCTATAGTCATGGCAAAGGAGCTGCCCGAAGGATCGTCGCGATCCATCGGTGAACTGTTGCAGCAGAATCCAGCACCGTTGAGCCGATACGAGTCACAAAAGAGGAGAGACTGGAACACTTTTGGACAGTACTTAAAAAACCAGAGACCACCAGTTCCATTATCACAGTGTAACTGCAACCATGTTCTTGAATTCCTCCGATATCTCGACCAGTTCGGAAAGACTAAGGTTCACTTACATGGTTGTGTCTTTTTCGGACAACCTGATCCGCCTGCTCCTTGTACTTGCCCTCTAAGGCAAGCTTGGGGCAGTCTTGATGCTTTGATAGGTAGACTTAGAGCTGCTTATGAAGAAAATGGAGGCTCACCTGAGAATAATCCGTTTGGGAATGGCGCGATTCGCCTTTATTTGAGAGAAGTTAAGGAGTGTCAAGCTAAAGCAAGAGGAATTCCTTATAAGAAGAAGAAGAAAAGGAAGCTTAATAATCCTATTAAGGCTACTATTGGTGCACCTGCTGCTACTGATCAACATAAGAATCTGATGCAAGCAAGCTAAAAGCATGTAGCGCTATCTCTTCTGATAAATATGGGTAAGTATAACTATCTATCTTTTCTTTGGAGTCTGGCAAATTATACGCCCTTTGATTAAATCATACGGACTTACTTCGATTTTGACTCTATCTCTTGATAGAACCAGTATAAAATTATACTCCTAGCCAATTGAAGAATTTAAGTAAATCTTTGAAAATTTGCTCGAGTGTCTAGCTATATATCAATATATGTTCTTGAAAAAGTTCAAGAAAGCAATACTGTGAAGAAACGAAAAGTTAAATTTTATCGGAAGTTGAGATGATCAGCTATAAGTAAAAATGAAATGTTATGATTTCCATGGCTAGGGTAATTATCTTCCATTATACCTCATTGTCAAGTTGATTTTCTAACACGAAAATCCTTAAACCAATCCAGAAACCCTGATCTTTGTGGTCATAGCGAAGCAATTGAATTTGAGGACTAGTAGGTATAAAAAATGTCATCTACTTTGTAATATTTGGAGTACTATATAGGGTAAGAATAGTGCATATTCTAGTAAACTTATAAGCACTCTCTCTCTTATATATTTTCCAAAAAAAAAAAAAAAACATCTCTCTCCTATATATTTCTCTCTCTCATATCACGCAAAAACAGTTTATTAGTTTCGTAGTTGAATTTGTTTCTCTTAAAATATGTTTGTTTTCAATAGTTCTTGGACCTTAAAAGATTTGGAAAGATTTTGTGTGCTCATGAACAAACCATGTGATGTTACTATAGTTGGAGTGATTTTGAAGTGGAAACAACCTTTACTATTGTTTTCGACCATGAATTCAAATTATTATATAATTAACAGAATCTTCTGCACATCTCCAACAAGCATACTTATAATGATTACTACAAAAAGTTCCAGACGAATATACAGATAATTTAAACACAAACAGTCAAACACGGACATTATGCTTGCCTTTTGTACGTAGGTTTTAGCAGTCAAGTCCTTTTTCGTATTATTTGTCTGTAAATAGTCTCATATGTTGGTGAAGAATATATTTTGCAAGTACGTAGTCCTTTTTTAGCTTGTTATGTTCCTCCTTAAGAATGTCTCTAGTCTTCTTCTTTGGGCTTTTAATGATCCTCTCCTATGAAGAGTATATGATCTTTTGTACTTCGATTCTTTTTGTATCTGATTTCTAAGTACACGTACTAATCACTCCACTTAGCTTGCACTTTCTATTGATATTAATCAACGGACAAGTGATTAAGACATAATTTATAGTCTGTAATATTCTTCTCAATAAAGTATTTTAAAATTTCGACTGTTATACGATACAAAATTAAACCTTAATACGTAGTTTGAATCTTCAGTCTGCTTAAGCAATAAAAATTATTACAAGTAAGGTTAAACCAAAGGAAAATTGTTCACATGAGTAGTTCGTTTGAAGTGCATATCAGCATGTGGCATGATTTATTTCATGACAAAACTCGAGTTGGCTTAAAAAATTTAGAATTAATCAATATTGCTGATCAATCAACTTAACATGAAGTAATAATCTTTTTGTTTTATTTTTACATTAAGCCATCACCAAGGCTACTGCCGTTGTTGTTGGGGGTTAGGTTCGACCCCTACCATGTCTATTTACATGCAAAAATTATAAAAAGGAGGGCGACATGGATCTTAACCTCCAAAAGAAACATAACTGACGTAGTCTTCAAAAAAAGTTGGAAGAGAGAGCCTATACAACTCTTCCATAGCTAACTATGAATTCAACTTACAAAGAAATTACTTTTGTCGTATCTTCTTCTAATACTAGGAAGTTGCCATTTGTCAAGTTGAAAATGCCCCTTCACCTCTTTCAGAAGTTGTTGAAAAGAGTACTAGAAGGTACCTTTTCCACTAGACTATGCTCTTAGATAAAGAATCCACCACTTGATTTGCTTCTCTAAAGGAATGGGTGAAGTTAGGAGTGCAAACGGGCGGGGCGGAGCAGATATAGTTCGGGTCAAAAACGGGTAATGAAAAAACAGATCAATTATCCGATCCGACCCATATTTAGTACGTATAAAAAACGGGTTAACCGTCGGATAATATGGGTAACCATATTATCCATGACTACTTGCATATGATCACTTTTGAGAATTCTTAGTCTCCCTAACTTGAGGAACCCTTAATTTGAGGCTTTACAAATGTAAAAGTTAGACCCATTGGTTATCTATTTTCTAAATGGATAATATGGTTCTTATCCATATTTGACCCGTTTTTAAAAATTTCATTATTTAACCCTTTTTTAGTGGATAATATGGGTGGTTAACTGTTTTCTTTTAACCATTTTGCCACCCTTAGGTGAAGTGTACCTCTACCCTAATGGCTGTCGAGGTGATGTCTTTGATTATCTTTCTAAGCTTGAGATTGTTGGTTTCTTCATTTTTCAGCATATTTGTCATAATCAGAGAGTCTAATTCTAAATCGAAAGCACGTATTCTATTTTGAAAGCACCAGTCCACCCCATATTTGGTTGCTTGTGCCTCTGCTTGGTTTGTTGCTGTTGCATCGGATAGGAATTGAAAATGCCATAATCTTATATACGATTTGATTGTTGTCATATCTCTTCTGTTGGAACCACAAAAGTCCCCGTTGGTCTTTATACTTGCCGCTAATTGCATCAATATAACTTAATCCCCTCACCCATTTGTCAATGTTGACAAGTACTGTATTACACTCACCTTCACTATACTTTTGATCATCTAACCATTTTTTTTAAAGGAAATTGAGCATGTTCAATTCTTCCAGATTATAATCAAGAGGTAAATGTATTGTTTCACTTTTGAATTCTAATATACAGATAGGGGTCTATGCCTAAACCCCGCACAAAAGCGGCTTTTATTAAAAAAAAAAAAAGGTCTTTGAGATGTAGGTGCTCATTGACAAGAATAAACATTTAATATTTTTTTTTTCATATTGGTTACCTTAATATATTGATATCTTGCCTTATGTGTGAGGTGAAAGCTGTGAGTAGATTGAGCAACATTCTATGAGGTGAAAATATATTTTCTCTTTTATTTTCTTTTGGTTGTTTCTTATATTACTACTGGTTTTTCTTGATGGGAACCCGATGCTATTGATATCAAGGAATTGACTTTAGTGCTATATAGCTAAGCTTTCTCTCAAAGAGTCATGAAGTATGACTTTCAAAGTCATGTCGATTCTAAGCCATTTGGTGTTTGTCTTTTCTATTGAGCTATCTTAAGTGTCTATCGAGCAAGGTATTCTGTTGTTAGAGAGTTTGATTGAGAATGATGGTTATTTTAATTAAGTTATATAGAGTGGCTATATTATAATACATTGTCATCACATTTTAATGCGCTAGCAGGATAATTATAATTTTATCACGTTATTAATTAATACTTATGACAAAAATTTAATTGTAATTATAAGTGACATAATTGTATAGATATTTTACGCCGTCAGTATATATAAGTTGAATCATGTCAAAATTGAGGGAAAACTGGAAGAATGATAATCGCCCGCCTATAATATAGCCTTAGTTTCTTAAGTCTCATCATTCATTTAGTCCACATGTTATCTATTTAGCAACGTATCAAGTTAATGTCAGGTTTTCTTCATGGAATTTCTGCACCTTTATCATTTTAACTTTAGGAATTAAAGCGTTGGAACTTTTATTTTCTGTTCTCCCTACCATTTTGATGTATCACACAAATAAAGGATTTTGGCAAAAATTACTGCATTCTGCCAAATCCATAGCTAGGACTCTAGCTCCGACTCTGATTATAACTTTGTTAAATTATATTGATAATATAAAAATATATTTATTGAATTGATGTAAATCATACGATCTTTTGAAGCATGTACGGCCCATAAAAAAAAGTTCGGTCGAGGGGCATGCAGATTATTGCAAAGACCTAGAGAAACCTTAGAGTAGTATAGCAAACTTATCCCATTATTGTAACATGCATGCATGTAAGTTAGCACTGATTAAACTGGCATGTAGTATGTCATTTCATTTCTCTGATCTCTTATATAGACATATAGATCAGATATCCTTTGCGACCTACGTACCTAGCTAGATTCCATTATACTATATATATACGCAACCCTAGAGAGCTAGGCTAGAATGACTATCAAACATATTGATGCATGTACCATTACTTTTTCATGGATATTTCTACAATCATTCAATTAATGTCGAATTGTCTAAGTTTTTTCTTGTCTTTTCCATTTCCAAGATAATTCTACTTTTATGCTTACCAAATTCATTGCAGGTATAGGGTGGTCACAATCGAATGTATCTTAGATAAGAAGATGTTGCTGCCTGCCAACAAATGTCTACCTGAATACTAGCTAGCTCTAGCTAGTTAGGTTTTCTTATTAGTAGATTATTAAGTTATATACTCATAAAGTCTTAGTCTTAAATAATTTAGTTAGATATTCAGTTTCTGTCAATGAAAAAAAGCAGGAATAACTGTCTTTTGGAAAATTTTGAAGGGAGTTTTCCACTGCTTAATTACTTTTGTAAATTAAATTACTTCCCTGCTGCTACATGACTTGGCATCAATTACTGCAGGAGTCATTAATTTCAGCACTTTGGTTGTTTTCAATAAGACACTATTTACTCCGTGTTATACATCTACTATATTTTTTTGCGTAAAGGGTTATTTCTTCCTTCTTTTTTCCTCTTTTTTTCATTAAATCCTTCTGTATATGTGGTATGTATGAGCAAAGTGATTTATCAAAAATGGTCAACAAAGACTTTGCAGTTCAAGTTTCTAGAGGACCGCTTTTCTTAAACTTGGTTTAGATACATGGTATAGACAATTATGATTGTATTATATGACAGTGGATTTTCAGACGAAAAAAATCCAAAATCTGGTATGCTAACGCATTTATTATTGTTTGTCATTCGGAGAAAACTACATTAAAAGTAACTTAAAAAAGCTTGCTTAATATAAATACAATAAGTTATAACTTCATTTACTTTGAGATCTTAATTGGTGTATATATCCAACATGTGAGGAGTTATCCTCCTTTATCAAAGTTCCAAGCTCAGGTACGACCAAGAACTTTGAGGACTCCTCTCTGTAGAAAAGCCCACACATTTGCAATCTTTGCTATCATTGCATTCAGTTAGTTTCATAGGTCCAATGTATTATAATCACTAGGCGAAATAATGTTCAACTCCTTCAACCTCTTCTAATAGTCCACATTTGATCCTTCCCTGCATGGTGGCAAACTTGGTGGTGCATAGCCCTTGCTCCCCCCCCCCCCCCCCCCCAAACCCAACCAATCCCTGAGGATATGGACACGCCACACACTAGCTATCCGCGCAAACACCCAACGATCCACACCTCCTCGGAATCTTGCATTCCATTGTTATCCCTGTCGAAAAGTTGATACGTGATCTCCCATGCCCACCAATAAACATATTATTTGGTTTATAAGTTTACATTCTAAGGGTTACCATCCATATCAACGTACTCTAAACAAAGTGTACGTACTGTTGCATTGGCCGTATAAATATGGAAGTGCCAAATCTAGGAGAGTTGGTAATGTTGAACCCAAATCCTAGCTCAAAGGTAGGGGTATACATAGGCTGGGCCGCTGGGTTGATTCGGATTTTTAAATTATCAAATCAAATTAATTGTCTTGGATTTTTAAATTTATAAACCAAACCAACAAAAGTCGAATTTTTCAATCACGATTTATCTCGGGTTTTTTTGGGTTTTTTCCCCAACAAAATCTTTATAGCATAAAATTTATAATTTGTGCTCTAATATTTCTTAGGTCCTAGTAGGATATATAAAACTATATAAGATGTTACCCAAAAAAATAGGGGAAAAATCTCACTTTATACCCATTAAGCCCAACTATTTACCCTTTAATACTCAAGCCTAAACTATTTACTTTTCTTACCTATGCAGCCCAAACTATTTACCCGTCCCACCCATTAGCTATTTGCCTTCTCATTTGAAGTACAGAATGTCTGAAATATTCGGCTTCATTTTTGCAAGCTTACCTGGTAGTGAACTTGAATGGATCTACTTCTTCTCTGGCGCCAGATCGATCTTCATTACGAGGGTCAACCCAAGCTATTGCTCTACCTCCTTTCGCTTATGATTTTTTTGTGTGTATGAAGACCCACCATTGTTGAGCTTGAAGCTCCTGAATTTAAAATTTTATTTAGAAGATTTATTGTTTGATTCGATGTGGGTGTTATAAAATATTGCTTATAGCAGGAGCGGCTCTAAGGCTTTTGGAAGTGAGGTCATTGTCTTAGGGCCCCAAAATTTAAAGCCCCAAATTTATTTTAAATTCTTATTATTATTGTTACTATATACTATATACTATATAATTTATGTGAATAATTAGCATATAGAAAAGTGTTACAATATATTTTTTTGTTACTTGATTGAGGTTATTTTATACCAATAAATTTATAAATTATGATAATTTTCTTTCCTCATTAAATAGTATAGTTGCTTCACTCTTCAATTTTAATTTTATCCTTTATATATGTATGAATTAAGTTATATATATCGACAACATAATGAATTCTTTTATAATATTCTCTGAAACTGCATGAACACAAAAAACATTCATGTACCGATTTTCTTTTGGTGTAATTTAACATGTTATATTAGGTTATTTACAATTTATTTTAGATATTCACTAATAGGTGCTACTTAATAAAATGAACTACAATAATCGGTTAAATTGATCAGAAGGAGTAAATATTTTGACACCGTCAATGCTCAAAATTTAAGCTATTACGTTATGTACGTTTATTTTTTTTCTTGTTTTTGATGATAGCCAATTCAAAATTTTTACTTTGAGTTCTGGACCTCAACATCCGGTAGTCCACCACTTTATTTTTGCGTTTTTCTTCCTATTTTTTTTTTAAATTCGCTTTTTTGTCTTAAATGATTAATTTGTTATTTAAAAAGCAAATTTTGTTGTTAGTGTAAATATTTTATAGAATAAATTTAACGGCCCCTCAATATGGTTTCGCCTTAGGCCACGAGATCCGTTGAGCCGCCCCTGGCTTATAGTAACTTCGAGTAAGCTTCCCAAATCTGAATTTTTATGTGTGTTTGAATATCCACCATTGTTGGCTTGAAGCTCAATTTTTATTTTTGAAGATTTCTTGTTTGATTCAAAGTGGGTGTTATTAAATATTGCTTATAGTACCTTCTGGAACTTCATACTGAAATTTGATCTCATTTGAAGTTGATTTGAGGTGATTGAGATCGAATCTTTCAACTGAAAATCGAAGAAGAACATAGTTACCTAATAGTACACTACAATGATATACAATATGTTGTAGGAGTATATAGCTATATTGCAACAATATACTATTATAGTATACAATATACTGTAACGGTATACTGTAATAAACGAAGAAGAACACAGTTACCTAATAGTATACCATTACGGTATACAATATACTATAGGAGTATATAGCTATAATGCAACTACATAATATTATAGTATACAACATACTGTAATGGTATATTGTAATAATGTGCAATATATTGCAACAGTATGTTGTAATAGTATGCAATATACCATAATAGTATACTATTTTAATGTAATAGTATAATGTTGAATGAAGAACATAAAATATCATTTTCATATATTGTATGCTATTTTGGTATATAATATATAATTCAATAGTATATAGTTTACTATAATAATATATTATTATAATATACAATACCATGTTATAGTTGGGTTATCTTTATTTTTTTAAAACTTTTAACTAGATCCTTTTTAAATATTTTAACAAAGTTCTCATGCTTTTTACAGTTTTTTTTTTCTTAAAAGAGGTGTTAGATGAAATTACATAGGCTGCCCATAAAAGTTAAGTATCGAGAACACATAAATAATGATTATTTTCATCATCTACTTCTAATACAATAAATAACATCTCAAATGGACGTTGTTGGCTTTCTCAGGTTCTTGCTTCCCTCCTCCTTATGTAATGTGTCAAGAATAAATTATGGGCACAATTTAATCTCAATGTTTAACAATAGCCTCTTATGAATTTCTATATAAATTTATGAAAGCAGAGCCACAATCACGATTCCCCTATATCCTTTCACTAATAATATTACCCACAAAAGCTACAAAGAAGGGTAATTAGTTGGGTAGGTAGAAAAACTAATGGGTAGGTAAGGGTAATTAGTTTAGTTTTTGTGGGTAAAGCTATAAAACTCCCATAAAATAATATAAAATAATGTGAGATGAGTCATGATTATACTAAAATACTCAACAAATCGCATAAGATAAATATTGTGTCACGCCCCGAACCTGGGCCTGTACATAACACGACACCCGGTGCCTGACAACATTTGACCAAGCGAACCAACTGGCTGGCTGAATAAATATGTGATATCATAACATACTGAATGCAGAAGATAAACTAGCACATGCTGATATACTGCAAGTCTGAATGATATAAATCAAAAGGCGGAAACACTAATATAATTCTGAAACATATCTGTAGCAAACATTGCTTAACATGAAAAGCCTGAGACTTTGTCTAACTATTACTCTAGTCTATGAAGCCTCTAATGAAGTACTGAAAACACTAACTATCTAAAAATACTGAAGACTGTAAGGTAATGATAATGCCCCGAAAGAATTGGGGATCACCAAATAGCTGGTACGAGAATCCTACCGCTCTGAATCGCCAACCTGTAAATCATTACTCGCATCGTGAGATGCAGGCCCCGGGCAAAAGGGACGTTAGTACATTTGAATTGCATTGGTATGTAAAGCAACTAAAAGAAAGAACTTTAAATGCTGAAATTGATACTGAGTTGATAATTGAGAATTGATAATTGATAACTGTTGAAACTGAAACTGAAATGATAATTGATAGCATATAACTGATAACTGAAATAGTAACTGATAACTGAAATGATAACTGATAACTGAACTGAACAAAAGAAATAAGGATATGAATACTCCCTCTTCTGAATGATGAACAACCTGTTTAACTACGGCCTCGGGCCCACTATATATGTGCACAAGCTACGGCCTCAGGCCCAAGTATACGTATACATAACTACGGCCTCATGCCCAAAAATGCATAAAGTATCAACTACGGCCTCAGGCCCAAACATGCATAAAGCATAAACTACAGCCTCAGGCCCAAATATGATAAGCATATAAACTACGACCTCAGGCCCAAATACAGGTGTTCAACATTCAGGGATTTAAATTCAGAAACTAAGAATCATACTGCAATATGTGATGCTGAAATACTGACTCATATTGAGTTACATGATACTGGAATACTGAATAGGACTAGACTAAGACATGTATTCTTGAAATGATTATGAAAACTGAAACTTCAATTGTTTATGACATGCTTAGAAATCTAGACTGAGACTCATGGGAATCAAACCAAATCTATATTAATTACGCACTGAGCTCATAAAGATCCGAATAAAAGTCATGAACGAGTTATGAATCTAGATAATAGAAGTTCTGCAACTATTAAAGGAACTAGGCTTAACTATATTTCTGACGCAATTAGTAACGTCGTAAAAGAAATGTAGTGTAGGGAGAATCATTAACATTATAAAACATAGAGAGTTAGCCTCACATAACTTAACTTCCTGCTCTTGATCATAATC